TCGTTAAAACTTCCATTTTTTTATTCTCTTCTCACTAATGCTCCTAATTAAATCCCATTTGTCAATTAAATCATTAAATTATTTACCCAAATTTGATAAATCTAATTATTTTGTTAGGTCTTTTCCTTTCATCCCATGAAAGTTGAAAGGTCTCTCATATATAATCTATAATCTTCTTCTTGTTGTATGTGCCCCTTCTCCATTAAAATATCAGTTGATGTCTTTGTTTACATTTTGTAGAAAGGTCCGAGGAACTCCCTCCTGCAGTGTTATATAAAGCGAAGTCGTTGCAACCAAACATATTATTTTTCTCTTGGTGTTTCAAGAAATTACCGAATGTTTTGTCCTATGGTTGTGCTTGTCAAAGTTTTTCTATTTGTCTATTGTTGAATTCTTATGGCGATGTCCTTATAACAATTTGTCTTTGGTTTGTTGGTCTTCTTTTTACTTTTTCCACTGATTGGTGGTCTCTTTTTACTTCTTACTACCTTTAATGCACGCGCTCACACTTGTGCAGGAGGTATTTTTTCAATCACGGCGTGCAATGTGTAAATTATACGTTTTAAATGTATTTATATTTGTAAATTGATAAAAGAAAAGTTAAATATTTGAAGTAAAGGAGTAATCTTAGATCATGCTAAAAAAACCCCCTCATAAAGCATTTAAACCAAATGAATCCACATAATAAAATCGGTCTCTATAGAATTTACATTAAGAATAGAGAAAATAATAATAAACAACTGATTGATTCACATTATTGTTAGCCCATTGTGAGGCTAAGTTCATCTCCTCCCCCTTAGTGTTGATAACATAGTTTGTTGAAAAAAAAAAAAATCATTTGACAACTAATTTAACCACATTATTATCCACGTGCGAAAAAACCTTTTTTATAACCAACATTACGTACATGCCTCTTAGGATATTTTGAATGCATGTAAAAATAGAGAAAATAATATTGAATTATAAATCATATTATTGCTAGCCTATTGTGAGGTACTAATTAAAAAATAAAAATAAAAAAATTGTGCAAAAAATTAATTATTAAAAAAACACCGTCAAATTGATGAAAATGCCTCTACCTTATTTGATGCATTATTTTGGGATGCCTTTGAAGTTTTTTGTCTTGGGGGAATTTTTGTCTAAATTTTTTTGTTGAAGCTTGATGACACCAAAAATACTATTCACCTTTTGTGGGTAATAACAACTGTCACGTCCTGATCCTGAGATGCGTTCAGGATAGACCAATGATGTTACCACGTAACTGTTCATTTATCATGTCTCGCCTCAAAGACATGACCGAAAACAAAACAACGATTTGACAGGGCATTAACTTTTTCTTGTACATCATGGTTGCATCTAACCTTTGTGTTAGACTACCTATGTGCCTTAAGACGGGATCAAGCCCATACGTAATTCATCCCTTGTAAAACTCTAACATTTTTCCTAATACTTTATAGCGGAAAACATAGAGTTCCATACTACATAACAATCATATGTTAGCTAAGATTTGTCATTTCGTCATTCACATATCTCACATGCTTTCCAACTCCATTCCACAATCACATCAACTTATCGATTCAATGACTCAAAGATGCATGTTGTAACTATGTAAACCAATCAAATAATGTAATAATTCAGGAAATTTAATAAAGCAATCGCTGTATTTCCTATCTAGATCCCAAGCAATGTTATGATCACTAATTTACTAACACAATTGTTTATCGTGAGCAATTTCTAATCACTAAATTCTAGGGTTTCAGACTAATTCTAGGGTTTCAGACTAACTCTGGACCACTCAACGAAATCTAACTAGAAAATGGTCTACCATCGTGGATCTACCGAGCATAACCTCTCCTTACAATAGGGTAGGTAGGACAGGACACATCACATCGCATGAGACCTTTTTTTTACTGGATTACGCAGAATATTTAATCCAACTCCAAAGACTGCGAGAAATATGTACCACACAACCAGTGATGAAGCCAGAAATAATCGGAAGGAGGGGCAAAATTTCAAACTGTAAAAGGTCCCAAAAAATTGTAGACAATCAAATCCTTTTAGATATTTAGCAATATTAATGTCAATCATAATCAAGGTTGAATGTTCTAAAAGACGTTAAGAACTAGTTGGGCGGCGAACTGAAGCCTAGTGTCTAGATAGATTTGAGTAAATTTATTATATATCATCTAACGCATTGGCGGAAACCTACTTGTATTTGAGTAAACTTATTATGTATATATCGTATACATAAGTGTTTTACACCTTAAAAAATTATACTTGTATTGAAGCTTCAAATTTATTTTTAATTAAGCTTATTATTTAACGTACAACATTCAAAAATATCAAAATTTTTATTTTAATAATTTAGTGAATATGATATTATGAGAAAAATACACTTCTTACAATGAGTTACTTTTTATTTTATTTTTATAAAACTCTAAACTCTAGATTAATAAAATTAATGGTCTGAAATCTTTTGTTAATATTAAAAAATAATTATAAAAAAAAAAAAAGAAAACGATCAGAAGTGGCTTGCAGCTGTATTTTGATTAGTAGCCACAACAAAAATGAAACTGTGCGTTGAAACTTAAATAGCTGGCCACCTTTTTCTTCCTCGCAAATCATTTGAACTGCCACTTTTGCAACAGTCGCAGCTCCGGCTAGCACCGGAAATGCCCATATTTCGTCTTATTTCTTCGCCATTCGCCAAAAAAAAAAAAAAAAAAAAAAAAAAAAAAAATAACAAAGGCCTACATGCAACGGATGTTGTACAACAGCAGAGGAACTAGGGGGTGTTTGTAGTCCGACTGACTAGAGGGGTTGCTACCCCCTCCTAGGCTTCTTTTTCGTCGAGAGAAGGGGCGACCGCGCCTCCTTGCTCCTCTGTAGCTTCGCCCATGCACACAAAGACTCCTTTGGCTTGTCTAGACTCTAAGTTGGTATGGGCACAAAAGCGTTCATGAACAAAAATGTTTTCTACAATAACAGTCTCCGAGCTCTGAGTTTTGTTTTTTATATGCAAATTATAGTAGAACATAGCAAAATGACTAATTACGCTATGAAGAATATTAGCTACATTTCCCACTTACCTTCTTTATTTGCCTGTTCTACTTAAAAGATGTCATGTGGACTTATCTTGCACCTAAATAAATCTATTAATTAATTGTGTTTAATTTTTTTTATTCTCTTCTCACTAATGCCCCTAATTAAATCCCATTTGTCAATTAAATCATTAAATTATTCACCCAAATTTGACAAATCTAATTATTTTGTTAGGTCTTTTCCTTTCATCCCATGAAAGTTGAAAGGTCTCTCATATATAATCTATAATCTATAATCTTCTTCTTGTGGTATATGCCCCTTCTCCATTAAAATATCAGTTGATGTCTTTGTTTACATTTTGCAGAAAGGTCCGAGGAACTCCCTCCGGCAGTGTTATATAAAGCGGAGTCGTTGCAACCAAACATATTATTTTCTCTTGGTGTTTCAAGAAATTACTGAATGTTTTGTCCTATGGTTGTGCTTGTCGAAGTTTTTCTATTTTGTCTGTTGTTTAATTCTTATGGCGATGTCCTTATTTGCACAACAATTTATCTTTGGTTTATTGGTCTTCTTTTTACTTTTTCCACTGATGGTGGTCTCTTTTTACTTTTTACTAGCTTCATGCACGGCTCACACTTGTGTAGAAGGTATTTTTTTAATCACAGCGTGTTTCGCACGACTTGCATGTTTTAAATGTATTTATATGCGTAAATTGACAAAAGAAAAGTCAAATATTTGAAGTCAATGAATAATTTTAGATCATGCTAGAAGAAACCACTCATAAACCAATTAAACCAGTTGAATCTCCATAATGAGTTTATAAAGAAAAAATGAAAGTATAATACCCGTTACTTAGAAGGTTGAAAGAGTGAGGGTAGGCCTAGGCCAATGTTGGCCATATAGTGCCTATGCTCCTGGTGATAAGCAAAAATACACCCTAAAATTATAGATTAGAATCCTTCTGGCATTGAAATCAACATTTCTTACCAAGAAAATTATGCATTCCAAATTAGAATTTCGCATGTTCATTGTTTAATACGCCAAGCACCAATTAAAAACCAAAATAGTGAAGATATTTGGTACATAAGAACCTACGTACATATTTTTCAGGCAATAAGATTGAAGGGAGCCTATTACATTATATATGTTTTGGCCCTAAAATAGTGTTAAAACATGCATCATTTAAATCTTTAAAATCTAATTATTTAAGGATGATGACGGTCTGGTTTTGCAGTAACCAGGCCTTACAAGAATTAATTAATATAGATGTGAGAGACAACCACCGCTTGGTCAGAATTGAAAACTGATTCTTCTAATTATTCTGTTATTTTGAACAAAAAAAAAAAAATGAGATTCTATGATTTTGTTTTCCAAGAATTATTTAAACTGTAATAACCAAGCCAAAATGTTTGTCATCAAAATGTAACATATACAGTGCTTTCGATGAGAATGACACCGTCACAATTTAAAATTTCCTGCATCTTGTTTGACAAGCAAAATTATAAGAAAGAAGAGAAAATTTGAAAAGACGTTGAGAAATGACATGGAGTACTTGGAGCTAACATAAACCTAGTGTAAAACTGAGCGTTATAGCATTCTAGAATTCATCCTGTTGACTTCACTTAATAGGATAAGACTTTGTTGTTGTATGGTTTGACAAGCAAAACAAGTAAAAAATATAAAAGAAAAGGTCGATAGCATCTGTTACGTAAGAGATATATAATATTTCAAACCCTTATATTCCTGCCCCATTTTTCCTGGTTCGAGTCAGAAAAATTATTTTGATGGTTAATTAAAGACTTCGAAGTCGAGCTAATATTGAAAAATTTCATGAAGGTGTTTTCCACAAGATTATAGTTGCCAGCCACCGTATCCATTAACAGCACCTAATCATCTTCCAGCAGTGTCTCTAAAAGTTTATCAAGATGAAAACTTTGCTCCATTTCTTTCTATTTTTAATGACTGTTAAGTTGATCCACCTCTGTGTTAATGTCATCCCAGTTCACAGCCAATGTCTTCAAGATGAGAAACTTGCATTGCTCCATTTCAAACAAAGCCTTGTATTTGATCCTTCCACTTCCTCTAAGCTCGTATCGTGGAATTCAAGCATTGACTGCTGTTCTTGGGCTGGTCTTAGTTGCAGTGATGGACATATCGTTGGTCTTGACATCAGTGGTGAATGTATCTCAGGCAACATTGGCAATTCAAGCAGCCTCTTTGATCTTCAACATCTTCGAAGCCTCAATTTGGCTGACAATGAAGTTGGTTACGGCTCTCAAATTCCATCTGCAATTGGAAAGCTTACCGATTTGAGCTATCTAAACTTGTCTAATACTGCTTATTCCGGGCAAATTCCCATTGAGATCTCACATTTGACAAGGTTGGAAATTCTTGATTTATCTACCTTGTACTTTCCAGGAAATCCTTCACTGAATCTTGAGAGTCCGAATTTGAATGTGCTCATTCGGAAGTTTTCTGAGCTTGTTGAACTTCATCTAGATGGCGTAAGGATATCAGAACAGGGGAGCAATTGGTGCCAAGCGATATCGTCTTCACTCCCAAACTTGAGAGTGTTGAGCTTATCAGCTTGTAATCTTTCAGGCCCTATTGATAGTTCATTACTGAAGCTTCAATCACTCTCAGTTGTTCGGATAGAGAACAATAATCTGTCTACTCAAGTTCCGGAATTCTTCTCAAAGTTCAAAAATTTGACTTCCTTGCTCCTCATGAATTCTGGATTATATGGTACATTTCCGGAGAAGATCTTCCTCGTACCTACACTGCAGAGTATTGACTTATCTGGTAATCCGCAGCTTCAAGGATCCTTACCAGAATTTCCGAAGGGTGGATCTTTTCAATCCCTGGTTCTCAATGGGGCAAATTTTTCAGGCCAGTTGCTTCCAAACTCTATTGGCAACCTCAAACTGCTGTCCAACGTAGAAGTTTCAACTTGCAATTTCATTGGGTCAATCCCGAGATCAATGGAAGACCTTACACAGTTGGTTTATTTGGACTTGTCGAGAAACCAGTTCAACGGTTCAATTCCATCCTTCAGTATGGCAAAGCATCTGACCATAATAAATCTTTCTTACAATCAGCTAACAGGTCAGATTAATTCCTCTCACTGGGAAAACCTTACTAATCTGGTGAACCTTGATTTGCGACACAATCTACTTGATGGGACTATTCCACCTTCTGTGTTTTCACTTCCCTTGCTGCAAAAGTTACAGCTTTCCGAAAATCACTTCTCTGGTCAGTTGCCTGAATTTGGAAATATTTCTACCCTATACAACCTTGAATTGAGCAGCAACAGTTTGGAAGGTCCTATACCTGTATCCATCTTTAATTTACGAGAGCTTAGAATACTCTCACTTTCTTCAAACAACTTCACCGGCTCTTTCCTTCTTAATGATATTCAGCAGCTGAAAAATCTCTCAAGTCTTGATCTTTCATGCAATAGCTTGTCTATTAATTACAATCACACCAATTCCTCTCATTCTTCATTTCCGAAAATTACCACATTGAAGTTAGCTTCTGGCAATTTGAGAAGATTCCCAGGTTTTTTGAGAAATCAATCAACATTAAGCACTTTGGACCTATCAGATAACCAGATTCATGGTGAGATACCCAACTGGATTTGGAGAATCAGTAATCTTGTTCAACTAAATCTTTCTTGCAACTCTCTGGTAACTCTACAAGGTCCTTTCCTCAATCTTACTTCAACTTTGTCTATGCTTGACCTTCATTCCAACCAGCTTCAGGGACAAATCCCAATGCTTCCACAATTGGCCACTTATCTGGATTACTCAAGAAATAATTTCAGCTCAAGCATTCCAGTTAACATTGGTGATTTCCTTATGTACACTATGTTCTTCTCTTTTTCAAGAAACAAGTTAAATGGAAGCATTCCAGAATCAATGTGCAACAAACCATATCTTCAAGTTCTTGATTTGTCTAATAATTCTCTAAGTGGCCCGATTCCCCAGTGCTTGACTGCGATGAGTTGGACACTGGCAGTACTTAATTTAAGGGGAAACAAACTTTCTGGCACTCTTCCTGATAATTTTCCTCAGCCCTGCAGTCTACAAACTCTAGACCTCAATGGCAATGTGATTGGTGGTCAGTTCCCAAAATCTCTAGCCAATTGCACAATGTTAGAGGTGTTAAACCTGGGAAACAATCAGATAACAGATGTCTTTCCGTGCTTACTGAAGAGCATATCCAGCTTGCGTGTACTTGTCTTGCGCTGCAACAAACTTTATGATCGCATTGAATGCCTCAAGACCAACAGTTCCTGGACAAAGCTTCAAATTATTGACATAGCTCGCAATAATTTTATTGGTGAAATACCAGGAAGTTTTTTGAAAACATGGCAAGCAATGATGGCTGATGAAGACGGTGCCATGTCAAGGATTAATCACCTCCGATTTCAAGTTCTAGAGTTCGAGCAAGTGTACTATCAGGATGCTATAACAGTTACCAGTAAAGGTCTGCAAATGGAGTTGGTAAAGATTCTAACTGTTTTCACCTTGATTGACATCTCATGCAACAAGTTTAGTGGATCAATACCTGAGGATATGGGAGAGCTGAAATCCCTCTATGGCCTCAACTTGTCCAGTAATGCTCTCACTGGGTCAATCCCATCGTCATTAGGCAACCTACGACAACTTGAATCGTTAGACCTTTCGGACAACAGATTGAGCGGAACAATTCCATCAGAGTTTTCCAAACTTAATTTCCTCTCATTCCTGGATCTCTCGAACAATCAACTAGTCGGGAAGATTCCAACCGGCACTCAGATTCAGTCTTTTTCAGCAGATTCCTTCGCAGGCAATAAAGGATTATATGGGCCACCGTTATCGTCGCTAGGTAACGTAGATGAGGGATCAGCAAGGTTGTCACCAACATTAGAAGGCAAACATTCAAATTCTGCGCACGGAATTGAATGGGATCTGATTGGTGCTGAAGTTGGATTTATTGTTGGCTTTGGAATTGCTACTGGATCACTTATGTTTTGCAAGAGGTGGAGTAAATGGTATTATAAAACTATGTATAAAATGCTTGGTAAGATATTCCCTCAGCTGGAGGAAAGATTTGGCCCTCATCGAAGACATGTTCACATACACCAAAGCTGGACCGGTTGAAATGATTACGAAGAGCAGTACAGCGTGCTCTGCAGTAACATTTTCTCTTTGAAATGTTTTGTATTATGAATTGTGAAGTTCCAGCAAACGGGATCGAACCCTGTCGAAAGACACGGTTCGAGGCACAACCTTGAGTCGTTAAGAATATATATTGTAAGAATCATTGTAGACATTGTAGGAGTCTTTTATTAGGAAGGAAATATGTTGTGTTTATAGTTTTCCTTGTAAGACAAGGTTTGTGTGTGTATATATTGTACAGCTTTGGTGAATAATAAATAAGAAAGTATTTTGGGTGTACAATTCTACATAGCATCGAGAGCTAGGTCTAAAGAAAACCTAACGTACCACCGTGCCGCTGCTGCTCAGAGTCTGGGGGGCCTATATTGTTTCTGCCCTTGCCGTTCCAACTTGCGAGGACTGTTTCCCTGCACTAACCGTGTGTACCTCAGGGCTGCCTCTCAGATATTTTAGGGGCCTTGTGCCAAATTTATAAAAGGGCCATTCTTAAGACAATCTTAGAAAAAAAATTGAACAATGTATTGGTGATAAAAAGCAAATATATAAACAAACTTAAAAATCACAATAATTATCGGTTTCTAAATATCATTAAATGTAAAGAAAATTACAAAAATAACCATATTAGTAAATAATCAACAACCAGTTCAATTTTGAGAAACAAATGAAAAAAACTTAAAAAAGTCTAGCATTGAAGTTTCACTTAAAGATGCTTATTCGTGCATTCTTGCTATAAAATCATCAATTAAACCTTCATAATCAATTTTGTTTAAGAAACCACTTTCTACCAATATCAAAGCAAGTTCATCTAACCTTTCCTACAACATGGTTGATTGCAAGTATGCTTTTAATAATTTTAACTTTGTGAAACTTCTTTCGCAGATGCAATCGTAACGGTACAATCAACAAAATTCTGTATACAATGCTTGTAGTCTGGAAACTACGCATTCTCTTCAAGTAGTTCAATATGTCAATGTTCTTCATTTCTTTCGGCAAACACTCTCGTAAAAGCTTAAACTCTACAAATAATGCATCCCCATCAACATCAAAGAACTTAACTTTCTTGAGAAAGTTTTGAAGATGATCACAACAATCTTTCAATTTATCATTGTCCATCGAATTCAACCTTTATGAAATGAACAAAAACCCAAATATATCATCATATGCTTGATATTCTTCAAACCTTCTCTTTAGTGAACCAATAGCTTGACCTATTATATGTAAGAAGTAATGAACCCTAAAAGATTCCTCCACTGATTGTTCAGTTGATTGGGATGATTCATAATCATTCTAATTAAAGTGTCTTTTGCTACAAACTTGATGCTTTTCTAGAACCACGAAATCAATGTCCATTTCAACAGAAGCTTTATAGCATTAATTATGGCCTCTGCAAACTAGTTTCTCTATACTTTTCAAAATAAGCGATCAATCATTGTACTTGTTCTATAGCAACATCAATACGCATCTCTTTAGATTGCAAATCTTTGTTAACCTCATTACAACAACCAATATTTTGTAACAAATACTTTATATATAGTTCTAGTTAAATACTTCAAAATTGAGACACGAAGCGATGAGCAAAGATGTACTTGTATGGTGCGAAAATATCAAATTTAAGCCACAACGGAATGTTATGCGTCAAATGTTTCACTTTTGAAAAAAGACTAGAATCCTTGCAAATATAATATATGCATTATTGATTTGTCAAACTTATTAGCAATACAATACAATTCTTTAATCACAGATAATAACCAACATGAAAGATAACAGTCATGGACTAAACCTTGCAAATTGTAGAACCACCATAAAGGCATCACAACGAAAAGATTGCAATACCGTCTGATGATCTTGCAATCGTCAATAAACAAGCATTACTTTGAATTATCTCCAACAAACGTCGAATCCTCTTCAAAGTCTTTTGTCATGGGCATAAATCAAAAGAAAAAGAAAATTTTTGAAAACTGTCGCCGCTCGATGATCTTGAAGATGCTATGAATACACAAAAAGTCCTAAATTTGAAGACTCATTTGACATCTCTCTTGGAACACAAAAAATCCTACGTGGCACTTTAAATTTAATTTTATGAACTATCTTGAAAATTCTCTAAGTACACCATCTTACCAAACCGACTCTTTTTTGGGATGCAATTCTAAAACCCGAAATCGAACTAAAATTTTAGTATTTCCGAATTTCGGGATTCTCAAAATTGTTTCTGTTTTCCGGTTCAGGATTGGGAATGACTACAGTCCTAATTTAGAAGATCGAATGAAGAACGCAAACCCCAAATCCCAAATTTGCAAACAACCCTTAAAAAAATCAGAGAGTCAACAATACAAAGATCGAAGAAGCCCTCGATCAAAATTCAAAAGCAGAAAGCCAAATACAAAGATATCAAGCAGTAATTGAAATTAGAGGATTTTCAAAACATAAATCCTAATTTTAATTCTAAATCCCCAAATTGAAAGTTCAAAACCCTAATTCTCAATTTAAGAATCCAAATTGAAACCAAGGTACAATAATTTCATGAGTCTTTGCTCCTTCATATCAGAGAAGCTTCGATTTGGAGGTCGTTGGAGGTGGAACCATGGAAGCTTGGATCTGGAATATGGAGGAGTCATAGAGGTGTAGTGGTCGGATGTGTTGAGTTTGCTCACAGATGGAGGAGGAGAAGAGTAGAGAGTCTAGAAACGATTCGAGAGATTAAATAGAGCCTGTTGACATAGTTGAGGAGAGGAGGAGAAGAGGAGAGGAAAGAGTGTGGAGATATTTGAGAGGTTAGAGAGAGTGAGGTCATCTGAGTGAGAGAGTGCTGACACATTTGAGAGATGGGAAAATTTATTTAAACCGATGTAACCTATTTTTACACCCAACTTACTCTTTGCACACATTTGATTTTTAACTAAACTATTAATATCTCTTTAAAACCCTAATTTACTACCTAATATACCCCCATAAACCCAATTCAATATGCGAATTTATTTTTACACCCATAACTGTTGGTCTCTCCTGACATCGTGCTTTGCTTTTCAAGATTAGCTTTCAGATTATCATCAGTTATTAGGACTTTTAGGCAATACTATTTCTGCAATTAGTATATCAATGCAAACTATTGGTCTCTCTTGAGTTTAGTACATCAATGCAAACTAGTGTACTACCTATTAGATCCATAATGGTTGGTATCTCCCGATTTAGGTTATAGAACCATTGAATTTTGGCAATTAAAAGCTTCAATCATGATCTCTTCAAGCTGAGAGATGAATATTGAACACCATTTCTTTAAAACTAAGAATTAAGATTGATTAATTACGCTATTTTCTTCTTCTTCTTCCTCTTTGAAATTGAACTCATACAGAACAAGCATGCATGTCTCCAGTTCTGCTTTCTTAAACTAGAAATAATAATTTTTTTTTCAACAAAACCGATTCCAATAACAACAACTGTGAGCCTGTGACCAAAACCAGAGCCAGAAGCAAACCATATATTTAAAACTACTATAATCTACGGGGAAGAGATTTGAACTTAGGTACAAGGAGGTAGACGCAAAACATTACAGTAAGATAACTTTTAAACTTTAAAAAATTGAAATCAAACGAACAAAAATTTCATAAATTGAGTCATACCTTGGTTGGAGAATTCAAAACTTCAAAATCACCATCCATCAATAAAAAAACTTATTTTTCTCTATGAAAGCTATTAGGGTTTTAGTCAGAATGAAAGTAGGATAAACAAAGAGTGATCGTAGGGTTTAATTATAGTGTTTGGGTTTATTGATAAATTTGAGTTATATTATTAATTTCATTTTGTACTTAATAGTAATTATGCAATAGGGTAAAATAGGCAATTAACATTTAAAATTTAAGTTGGGTGTAAAAAGAGGTTACATGGGTTTAAATAAAATTTTCCTTGAGAGATTAGAGAGAGTGAGGTCTTTTACCCAACAATCTTAACCGAATCCAATGGTTACAATTTGTTCTAATATATATAATATGTGACAAATACATGTATAATATGTATATAAATTGGTTCGGGATTACTGAACATCTGCCAACCAAGTCCCAATTCCTGTACTGAATCATTGGGATTTTTTCGGTATGGGTTACCAAACTTTTCGGGATTTTTTTATTTGGGGTTTTTCGGTTTTGAATTATGGATTTTTCGATCGGGTTTGGGTAATTCAGAATTTTTTTTTTCCAGCCCTACATACATGAGATGTGAACAGAGTCATAAAATAACAACGTCAATCTTTACACAAATTAATATTTGGGTACAATGCAGTGTCTACTTCTTGTTTTGTGGATTCAGACACTTTGTTGCAGTGTCTATTTCCTATTTTGTGATTGTGCATTTAGATTCAAATAGGTTTGTGGATTCAGACACTGTAATAGTGTCTATTTCTTGTTTTGTGGATTCAAACACTTCATTGCAGTGTTTGTTTTCTGTTTTGTGATTGTGCATTGAGATTCAAATAAGTTTGTGAATTCAGACACTGCAATGTAGTGTTTATTTCTTGTTCTGTGGATTCAGACACTTCGTTGTAGTGTCTGTTTCCTGCTCTGTGATTGTGCATTGAGATTCAAATAGGTTTGAAGATTCAGACACTACTGTAAAGATCATACCCTCAGAGGTGGGTAAAGATCATACCCTCAGAGGTAGCCACCTATACTGAGATTCGCCACAAATCCTTGTCAATACGAACTTCCAACAGCTAAAACCTGGAAGGGCTAAAAATCAATGGTGAGTGGGCCTGAAAATAAAGTTTTTAATAAAAACAATTTTGAAAACAGTATAACCCTTTGCCGTAAAACCCGTATAATTTCCCAGAAAATAATAATACATACGTATATAGAAATCATGCTCGAGAGTATTGAAAACCAAGTATATGCCATGTCAAGTATCTTAGCAATGAAATAAGTAAGCCATGTGAAATAAATCAATATAAAATGATATGCCAGCCAGAGTCACCTAACATAACCTGTACGGCTCTA